TAAACAGGACACAACCCTGTTTGCCTCTTTCCCAGCTCCCACTTTCAAGCCCCATGTTTCTCCCAGCTAAAAGTGATAAAGATTTAAGGCCCCAAAACCATCCAAAACTTAATTGATTTTTCCTTGTTTAGGCAAAGACAGAAAAGATTTCTGAACTTCAGGGTTGTATTATATAAAATGCATCAGTAAGATGTTATATTAAAATAAGGTCATGAAAATAGTTTTATTCCATTTGCACTAAAATTGATGAATTTTTTGCAATTCTTGTTTGACCAAGACAAGTTTCTTTCTCAGAAGTATTTCATTACATAAAATACTGAAGTACATTGTATTGAATCACACTAATTACAATGGCTGGTGCAAAATTAAAAACCAAATGTGCAGTGGGATTTTGGTGATGTGAGTTAAAACAGAATTGGGTTTAAAATCTGTTAAGATTTTACTGAGCAATCACCCTTCTCACAGAGGAAAGATCAGGTGCCAAAGCTGAGGGTCCTCAGCAGTACTAGTGCTGATGGTTATACTTGCTTCCTTACGCATTTGGATGCTTAAAAAGACACAGGTTTGGGACTGGCTTTGCCACCCTAAAACCCCATCCCCTGGGCATGGCTCCCCAAAGCTCGCAGATGACCAGGAAGCGAAGGTCAGATGTGTGCCAAACTCTCCCTCTTATGGATATCCCTTCTCCCAAGGCTGTGCACCAACAGAGCTGCACAGCAAGTGCTTTGGAGGGGAAACTGAGAAGTGTTTGCAGTTAGCAATTAGCACACATTGCAAATGAGACTGTAAACAGGTTATCTGGCAATTAGCAGCAGCAGTCCATTTTCCCCATCCTAACACAATCTCACTTCTTTTTCAATCTGTGTCCCAGAAACCATCAAAGTGATAATTCTGTGAGCTGTCATTACTGATAAACAAACAAACAAAAAGCAATAATCATGATCTTCTTGAGAAATTTCTTCATGTTTCACATCTCCTCGGCAGAGATACTGGGGATCAGTTCCTTAAATTAAAAATCAAAGCAAACAAAATAACCACCTTACTTTCCCCAGTGTTTGGTTTGGAAGAACTAACATAATTTGAAAAAGCTGGCTTAATGCATTTTTTTTTAAATATGAAATTTCCTTACAGATCTTTTGCCCTGTCAGTAATTAACAGATCCAAGTAATTTTAACTGGATGTGGGTTTTTTTCCCTTAGGTTTATTTTCTTCTATTGCTCAGCCAACTCGTAGTTGGCTGTCAATTCATTCAAGACCCTTCAGTATCTTTGCAGGCTTCTAACAAGAAAATGTGTTTTCTTCATTAATTATTCTTTAAGAAGATAATTTGGATTATTAAAGGTTCTTCAGGTCCTCTTCTCTGTGGTTTATGAGCTCTTCTAGTTTCAGTCATCTGGAGAAAAATGAGGGATGTAAGTCTCCAGAAAACAATATTTATTAGTAGCTACAACAAGCCACACAAGTGATATCACTTTGAGACCAGCAGTTATACAAATTTTATGCTAAAATATCTCTGTAAATTATAAATTAAGTCCATTGGGATTTTTTAAGAATGAAAATATTTTTCCTGGAGAAAACATTAGTGGCACCGAAAGAGCCGTGCGCTGCCTCTGGGGACCCGTTTTGCTAAAAGCAAAGATAGGAGGTGACCAGCTGGCTCAGAGACATCAAAAAGGCTTGGAAAATCCTATTCCTGTGTTGCTGATTTGGCAGTAGCTTGCTCACTTGAAAAGTCATGATACGATCAGGAACCTTTTATCACTGGCCAGCCATGACCTCAGGCAGTTTCCATTTTGCAGCTTGTTGGCAGCATTTGTAAAACTTTCATATCTGAGAGTACAGTTGCTGATACCTTGAATCAAATGCTACAGACACTGAAGAGCCTCCTGAGAGCATCATGTATAATATGCAAAGGCATTATGTGTACATCTCTCTAAACCCAATGTGTGTACTTCATCTTGCTTTTCTTCTGCTGTAAAGTTGGTGTTCATCTGCATCATTCCATACATTATCATTATTTTTAGGGTCTGCATTTCCTTAGTTCTCAGTGTACATTACATTTCATATTAGCTGTCTCTGTTTGAGACATTATTATTTTGTGCTGACATCTCCACCACTTTGATTCGTATAATGAAATTTAGCCTTAAAACCATTACAACAGGAGATAATTTATGAAACACTGAACAAGAAGCCCTCCCTTCCCTCAAGAGTTGACTAAGACAGGGACAAAAAGAGGAATCATGGGTGATAATTGCATTGTCTCATTCCATTTTCCTCTGAAACCTTATTACAGCTGTCCCAAGAAAATATGCATTATACAATCCAAGTAATGAAAGAGCAATTCTAAAAGCTAATTGTCTATAAAAATCTAGAGTTGATCCTTTACTCCACGAAATAGGAAGGTGATTGCATTAGTATGCCAATTCATGGAGATCATCACTGGGATATTATATCCAAGTTCAGAGTACCAGCTTCCCTCTCTCATAAGGTGTTGGAAGAATAAAAACACATTAAAATATTGCAGTGAGAGCATTCTAACACAGAGATGACTTCTCATAAAAATGCATGCAAGATCCAATGGCGAAAAACTGAAGAAAAATTCCGTGGCCTGGGGCAGCAGGATTATCCTGGCACCTTCAAGCTTTAAAATCTGTTAAACTGGTAGATCAGTTAGGAAAACAATAAGAGCTCTTCAAGCACTCCTTCCAAGACACATGAAACTAGAATGAGAAAAGGAAACCTATCACAAGTGGTTACACACAAGTCATTTTTTGTTGCTCCATTGGCTATATTTCATGCCACAGTAGTGAGCTCAGATTGCAGCACTTGGGGTTGTTGCAGAGGGTCTGATTGGAGACCACACCTGGAAATGGTCTTCACTCAGCAAGTGAAAAGACAGCAAAAGAAAGTGAGAAGAAGCATTACTGTTCACCAAGGGAATTGAGGATACCAAAGATAAGGTCTGGAATGCTTTCTGACTGAAATTTAACCCTGTGAAAGAAAATGCATCAACTCTGCTTGGGAGGGGATGAAGAAACGCCTAAGAAAGGAACATGAAACAATATCTCAAATTATCCATTATTTCCACAGATTTTGGGTATGGGTTTTTGTTGGTGTTTTTTTTTCCAGAAGAAATCATTGAGAGACTAAGTTTGGACTCCAACCTGCCACTTACCACTGCCTCTCCTACTACCACGGCCCCAAGCTGATGGTACAACAGAAAGAGACTGACAGCCAAAATGGAATTCAGCTGACACCAACATATCTCTGCTGAGAGGTATCACATGAATGTCTTGGTGCAGACCAGCAGTACAGACCCTTAACAGTGACATTTCTATATAGACAATGTTTAAAAGGCCAGGAACAATGCACACAAATGCAGTACCATATTTTATAGCAGAAAGAACTAACCAGGCTCATCAGATGAAAAAAACAACCCTAAATTCAGCATTACATACATCCTAGTAGACAATGCCATAATTATTCATCTTTACAAGTGAAACTATGGACTGATAAGTGTAATGTTAGCCTGAAATTCAACTCTGTTTAGTGCCGAGGTAGAAGAGTTTCAATAAATGTAGATATATGTGAGAAAATGGTATCTGGAAATTTATATTACTTGAAGATAATGTATATGCAAATCATTGTATATCAAATAGAAGTTACAGATTATTACTTTTTTTTCCCAGAGGAAAAGAAAAATCAGGAAACAGATACAGTAATATTTTCACAGTGATTTAGTGAAATCCTGCTGCCCAGGTCGGGTCACATAACCCTAACAGACCTAAAATGCAGTCACAATGTAAAGAGTACAAAAGTTAGAGATAGCTGAAGATAGCTAAAGGATGTTGAACTGATAAAGTGTTATGCATGGTTTAAAAAGAAACACACAAACACCTGATTGTCTTTTCTGTATTTTATTTTCTCAGGAATATCCTGAGCATAAGGGCAAGTGATCTTTTTATGCAAGACAATAGCATGTCTCCTAGTAGCCTGAAGAACTGAATAAGTCATACTCACAAAAATGACAAAAAAAACAGTGATGCCAGGTTTTGATCCAAATTTGTTCTGACTAGTAGTAGGATTTTGATCCTGTGCCTTTAAAAACTGACAGTTTAGCAAAAAATGTCAAGCTGCATAATTTCCCACTGGCTAGAAAAATACTGCTGATGATCTCTCCAGTAAAACCAAGCAAAAAACTTTATCTCATGCAAACAGTAAGTTCTGTGGGTTTGGTTGGTTGGATTTTTTTTCTCTGTGTTATATAATAAGAAATCAGGTGCATTCTTCACTTTTCATTGAAAGCCAAAGTGCACTATGACATTGGGAAATCCTGATTCCTTTTACAACTGCTGATTTTTGAGAGCTCCACCCCCCAATCTTGGTTATAGGATTGAACATTAATCTATAAAAAAGGCCTAGAATTTGATCTGTACTCGCTCAATACAGATTAATTAATCTGCAGATTCTGCTACATAAGACCCCTGAACTCATCCCTCAAGCAGGGATGATGATAAATGAAAAAAACCTGGTGTATTTGTCCTGGACTTTTCAGGTTGTACCACCCAAACAGAGCCCAGGTGTGATGAGGGAGCCAGGGTGAGGGTCTCTCCCAGGCAGCTGGAACTCCATTTGCACAGTATTTGAAAGCTGAAGCTTCACAATGTCATTATGAGCACTGAGATGCCAGAGCTGAAGTCCTTCCTCCCATCAGAAACTGGGAAAATAGGAACTACACTTTCTTTTCCCAACACCTCCACTACTGCCTAAAAAAAAAAAAAAGATCTGCCTTTTTTTCTTTTTTTTGACATAACAAGACCACATGTTGTTCACAATGGAAGAACCCAAAGTCAAGCACATAGAATTATGTAGAGAACTGAGAAGCCTCTCTATGCTGCTGCTATTATGGGGTGATTTTTAGTCACTTACTTGGAAGAAGGGCTGGTTTTAACTCTTCCCTTTCCTGTCCTCTCCTGTGTTCTCTCTCCTTCCTCCATTAGCAGAGGGACCTTCCTGGTTCTGTCATTTCTTAAAAACCCAGTTCACAGATGAGAAGTTTCAAGTACAGCTTGGCAAATCCAGAGGATGCTGGGGGAAGCAGCTGATACAATTCACATGTTCACTCATCTACTGCATATGGAATATAAGGAAGAGGAGTCCAACAAAAGGTAGTTTCTAAAGAGCACACCGAAAATCACACACCACCCTTGTTTCCAGCTGGGGAATTGGAGCTTGCTATTTCCATCTGGAAAACTTCCTCCATTTGATGTTTGATGATAATGATAACAAACTATTACATGAGTTTGGGATCTCTGCTGCATCCCCCATGATTTTAACCTCTCATCTATCATTTTTGTGTGGCCTGTCTAATGATACTGATTTTTGGTGCTTTAGACTTATGTTTTGCAGTCCTGATGATACTTTGGTCCAGTTTCACCTAAAATCAAAAAGATTGTATTGCTACAGTCTGTCCCTGGGAAACCACTAAGACAAGAAATGCATTTTCAGTTGCATTAGAGCTTGTGCTGGACCCCAGAGCCCAGAATGACTCTTAGGATTAGGACTAAAAATCAAGAAACTCAGTAAATACAAGTGAATTCAATTGAAAGGATAGAATACGTGCAGGGTTTCAGGTGGGTTTGCTGAGCTCTAAGTACAATTAGAAGATGGGTAAAGAGAAGTTCACTGTGCTGTAAACAAAAAAAGATTTCTTTTTTCCTGAAGACTGAATTCACTTCTTCATAATCTGCATTTTTCAGCAAGTGAATCTGATTTTTTTTTTAATGTTCTCGTAAAGCCAGGAAAATTTATTAGAAATTACTAACATTTATCATGTTTCTTGGCAGAATAGTTAGATACTTTGGTTAAAAAAAACCCCCACACTGATGGTCTCTCTTGAATAAATACTTGAAATAAATACTTGAAAAGCAAATAACGGGGGCTGTTGAATGGATTAAAAATAAAAACAGAACAAAAGATAAACAGAACGTTATTTCTGCAAGAAACCGGTGTCCAGATTTAGCCCATGCAATTTTTTGTCAGAAGAGAGAGGCTAAAATTATCTCCAGCTAAACCAAGGCTCCCATATCCTTGTCATTTAGGAACTCTTTCAGTGACATGCAGGCAAAGACTAGAACTGACATTTATTTGCAACAGAAAAAAAAGAACAACAAAACGGGGGTCAGAGGACGTGTTATTTATTGTGCCCATCTGACAGCCCAAATGCAATGAGATGAGGCAGAAGTGCCCAGGCACTGTTTACAAGAAGAATCATCTCTTGAAATAGATTTTCGTTTCCCTTTGCTCTGTCATAATTAGGAATGTCAAATTTCTTCGGGGGGAAAAAAAAAAGAAAAGAAGGCACGGAAGAAGTTTTTACTTCCTCCTCTTTCTCAGAAAATGAAAACATGAGTAAGAATTGAAATATTTGCCTGCAAAAAAATATTTGTTTGCTCGGCCTAAAATTTATTTACATTTTTGAAAGTGTAGAGTGCACTGTATATAATCTGGTTAGTTCAAAGGAAGTCTATTCTGACCTGTTAAACAAATATGAGTTCTTTACCTTTGAATGATAATAAATCTGTTATCCAATGTACTTAACACAAGATGCCCTTAAACGGGAAAAAATTAAGAAGTGCTGCAGGTGGAAAGCAGCAGTGCAGCTGAGCAGTGCAGGGAAAAGGTGGTACATACAAGTTTTCCATAGATTTTGGATACTGAGGCATATTGTGTTTCAGAAAACAATCTTGGAAAATGAATTTTAATATAACAACACATTTATTACAATGGGCTTTACACTGCACATGGTATAAAGGAACCACAATAAATGTGGTTCCCAAAACCCCCCGACCCAGAGCAGCAATTATTTAAAACTAAGCTGACTTTTTTATACAGCTAAGGAGCTGGTTATTTTGGGTCGATGGCTGGGTTGTTTTTCTCCTGATTTCTGCCCTTAGATACAGATGTTTCCCCCATGCTCAGGTCCTGAGGACTCCCTACAGCTGGCTGACAAAACAGGATAAAACATGAGGCTGGGCCATGTTGTAACAAGATGTTTCTTCTCTCCTTTTTTTTCCGTTTCAAATTGTTTTGTGAACAGAAAATTCTAAGGACCTTTAGTTTTGGAAACATTTCTGCAACAAAATATGTTGCCTGTGTTTTAAGAGAGGTTCGGTGACTCCAACAACATCAATTCCAGCTCACAGCTGCGTTTGGATCTGGAGTCCTTGGCTCTGCATGTGTGTAAGGCTGCCAAAAGCTTAACTTCCCAGGAAAAATGGGAAGCCCTCCCTGTCTCTGCTGGCTGCTCCTGAGAAAGGGCTGTGAGTGCACCGAGTCCTTTGCTTGGGCAATCCACCAGGCTTGGATTACATGGGAATTTATCTAACCCTGCACGTTTCATGGCTCAGTGAGCAAATCTGGGAACAAACTGATGTTTTAAATTAAATTTTGCTTCTGATGTGCCAAATCGACCACCTGGGTAGATTCCTGAATCTGCGTGTCTGGCTGTGGAGCACCACCCTCTGAGGCAGCTGAATCCCATCCATCTGCCACCCTCCAGCCCACAATTTAGCCCAGAAGTTGTGTTTTTCTTAAGTGCACCCCATCCTAGGCAGTTACCATGGCAACCCAGGGCCCGACTGTCAGACGTCAATCCTGCTACAACTCTGCTGCTGTCAGGATACAGCTAAATCTCTAAGGAATGGAAGACATATTTCATGGTCTTCATTGTAAGGTCTGAGGTGAATACAGAGCTCAGGTCACACCCGCACTAACCCACCCCATTCAGAGCTGATACTCCCGTACTGATGACAAGTAATTACATTTTTTTGTACCAGCCTTTTTACATTTCCTGTTTTGAGAAAGAGCCCTTGGAGCACTCGGCTTTGCTGTCACACAGCTCACCAGGCAGCACATCTGTGCAGCAGCAGTGCCACTGATGGCTTACCAAGGAATACACTTTTTCCCTCACCTCCAGAGGTTAATATGAAGTTGCCAGGGTGAAGGAACATCGTTACAGACTGAGTCACCTCCTATTTTTAAAAGGATGATGGGATGGGGGCTTGCCTCAGACACGTTAAAGGGTCCAAACTATGGTTTTATTATTGGGCTGTTAAGGGATGATGGGCAAATTTTTCATTCCTTCTTGCCCATTCTTCCACCTGTTGAAAGGGAATTCTGGTGTTGGTGTCTCTCTTTGTAAACTGGATCTGACACCATTTTAAAGCTAAGCTGCATAAAAGCTAATTATTAGCATCATGACCACTTACATCATCATTTAATTGATCCCAGAGCACAGTCAGAAGAGAATGGCAGCATTTGACTCAGAGCCTCACATCTGGATGCTTGAGCATCCCCTTTGCTCTCTTTTACCAGAAAATTTACCTATACACTTCAAAACCCTGGTGGGCACAAATCTGGGGCTCTGCTGCCAGACAGAAGAGGTTCCCAGCCTTGCTTTCCCATCTCCCCTTTCTCCAGTAATACATCCTAGTGGATGTCCCATATTTTTCAACCTGCAGTGTCACTGAGGTGCCAGCCACACTCTCATGGAAAGAAGAGCCTGTTTCTCTTGTAGATACATAGCACAGCAGTTTGTTATCCTGCATAGCTCTGCAACATGAAAATATTTTATTGTAACAGTGTCATATGGCCATTACACAGCAGCACAGGAGGTCACATTAATCTGACAGGTCAGCTTTAAATGCAGGATACCCCCTGCCATGCCGTGGACAGGTGGCATTGGAGCTTTCCCTGCAGCCCAGCTACACTTAACAGTCTTCCCTATAGTATCCCTCTGTTTTTAGACTCCTTCAGTGAACCAAAAAAAAAAATCACTGCTGCATTGAAAATTTTCCCCTTCCTTGGGTCTGGTTCATCTTTAATTTATCCTCATCTTGCTTGCTTTCAGCTGCTCTCTGCTTTCCAGGGAATGAACACGCAGGGGGAAGTGGAGTCCTTTCTTCTCCTGCTCCTCCTGTCTGCTCTCTGCCTGGCCACTGACAGTCCAAAAGGCCAGGGGTCCAGCTACCCCTGCATCTCAGGCTCACTCTCTCACACTTTTGAGTCATTACTCTGAACCGTTTGATGGAATGCCAGTAAACAGAATGCCAGAGGGGAAAGATAGTGTGAGAAGTGGGATGAGAGAAATTAAATGATGAATCTCATTCAGTTTCTCATTTTTGCATCTTTTGCCCAGCTCTCCTCCGTAAGAGTATGTAACAGACCAAATTTAGAGCCTCCAGATTGCAATCAAATCCATTCAGCACAGGGATGTGAAATTCCTGTGGTGTGAGTGAGGCTGAATTCCTGAGCCATCACATGGATTTTCGGAGTGGCGGGGGAAGGCGTGCGACTGTCACCCTCGGTGGCACCCACGGACCCGGAGCGGGCACACGTGGCCTGGCTGTGGCTGTGAGGGGGTGAGGGGCTGGGAATTGCTCCTGCCACGGTGAGGGGGTGTTGGTGGAGGTGATGGCTGGAACTCTGGGGCTGTGTGAGAGTCTCCCTGCACTTGGACTGGGCAAGAGCTGCTGCCACAGGGAGAGTCACACTCTTCACAGTACTCACTGCACAGCAACAGTAGCAGGTGCACAATATAATTATATTTTTGAAGAGAGAAAATTCACTTGAGAAAAATTGAAAAGAAGTTTGAAGTCTTGTATGTAACATCCTTGAGCCTGTAAAGCTTCTGTAGTGCAACCAACATCCAAGCCAAACGGCTTTGTCACAGTGCCTACCTTTATTTTAAAAGCCATATTCGTTTAAAGATTTACAGAACCCTTCTTTACTCTCTATAATCCTGAGTAAAATAACCATATTTTATTTTAAGGTGCAGTATTTTCCCTTTGAAATGTTCATGAAATTAAACAGATAATGGTCCCAGACATGTTTTTTCCATGAGCAGAAGTGGTGCATGGATCATCCTATGCCCTCAGAGCCGGCTACTGACAACCATGACAACTTTAAGTCGGCAAGAATTGAAGTGAGATCACCAACTCACCTTGCGCCTACTACCTAAGGGTCATCACACTCTGAGGAACAGAAATCCCACCTGGCAGCTTGGCAAGTGTGACATTCAACCCTCCATTAAAAGTACCTTGTATTAATTATAATTTCTTTAGATGATTTAACAGTTACAGGTTCGTTTTTAATGTACATCGTTTTTAACCAAAATCCTTTAGGTTTGCATGGGGATCCAGGACAACAATGAAGAGTAGATATGCAAGAAATATTACATATAAGATAGATAAGGAACATCAGATAGATAAGGAACTGGTGAATCCTTCTCAGTGGTGCATCTACCCCTGGAAACAAGTGAGAGCCAGAGAACAAAAAGGCCAGTTAACCATTATTATTATTATAGAACACGAAGCAGCTCTATTCAGTTAGAAACAAATGGCCAAGTGACTACTAGAAGATTTGTGTCTACCATAGCTGGTTTCAAAGATGCAGAGGGGGGCCAGAACTGTTTGTCACGGGGCTGTGGCACTGCTATGGCTGCACCAGATCAGGTTTGCTGGTGTCTCATCAGAGCAGGAGGGTCCTGGCAAGGGCTGGGGCACAGCACTGTCTGCTGCTGCTAAAAATTCACCACTGCAACTCTCATCTTTTTGACACAAGCTTCACCATCCATGTTTGAGGTGTTGCTTAGGAAAGGAGTCTTCAGGGTCACTAGGAGACAGGAGTTAGGGAGCTGAGGGTTCTGAGGCCACTGGGGGTAAAGAGGCCAGAAAGATTTTGGAGGTTGCCTCCTTGGCTAGGCAAAAGCAGAGCCCATTTGCTCCTGATCCCTTCAACTCCCTCCCAGTTCTCCTTCTTTCACTACTCACTAGGAATAAAAATAGTGGCTATGGGTGGCCGGATTGCCTGGGGCAGGTCAGGAAGGAGAAAATACTGGGAATGGGGTCTGAGCATGGAGTCATCCCACAGAGAAGAAGAAGATCTACACTGCTGTTTGCAAACAGCTGCAGATCCCCTGGGATTTGTTTTCCAATTAGTAACAAAGCACATTAACAAAGTCTATTTAGATGGTTTTACACTTGAGTGAGATTTTCCTAAATTAGTAGCCATCAATTCTTATTCGGAGAGTGAATCTGACAAATTCCATGGATTATACCAGTGTACAGCCCTCCTCCTGCAAAAAAAAGGGCAGTGAGTCACAATCAGAAAAAAAGGAACTTGCTTTAAGAGTAGCATATCCCTGTTTTTCCTATCAAAACACTTTGTTGTGTCTTTCCGTAGTTTTAGTAGTTGCAGTTTTTTGGACTTCAGTAATGGGAAATTATTCTAGAGGGGAATATTAATAGAAAGTTCTTAAAAGGCACTGAGAAGGTAGATGGTACCTTTTCATCAAAAGAACAAACCAACTGCAAACAAGAAATGGAACATTTAAACCTAAGGAAAATAAATCTCTATTACCCTAAATAACTTGGACTCAATAGTAGAGAGTGTCGCTGAGAAAGCAAACTGGATGCTCACACAGATAACATGCATTTGTGCATGTTACAATTAATGAAAATAGCTTAAAATTTATTTCACCCCACATTTCAAAGACTAAATCAATCTCTGTTTAGGCAGGGCAGATGACCTCACACCTGCCTCTGTGTCATGTCCTGCACTTCAGCTGAGGATTTACAGTTGGCCTCTTGTAGGGGTGTGTGACTGGGGACCAGGAGGAATATGGGCTTTGACCCAACTGGTGCTAATTGCACCTCAATTTTTCAACAGTGTTGCCAGGTCTGGCCCATGAAACAGTGCTGGCTGGAATATCCCTAAGGATTGTCAGTGATGGCCTTAGCAATAGGCCCGAGCCTCAGGGACTGAACCTTTCCATAAAAAAAATGTCTTTGTAGACACGGCCACTCAGATCTCCAAGGCAGCACCTCTGAGTGTGTGTGTCTATCCATCCATCCATCCATCCATCCATCCCTTACACACAAGCACGCAGACTCAAGAGTTATTTTGCTGGTCCAAGGAGAGTGAAACCTCTACTGAACATTTACTTGTGGAATTTCTTCCTCGAAAATATCATCTGGGATGTTCTCAGAGACCTGAAGGTGTACACAACAGTTCACTGCAATGTTTATCTACTGCTTAGGTGGGAAAAATTCACAATAAAAGTGATGCAGGATGCCATTAATGAACCTTGTCCTCCTGCCATCAGGGGAAGGCACAAAGAACTGAAGAGTGGTTTGAACAAGCTCAGCATCTTCTACACTTAAACAAAAGATTGTGTCCTACAGGGACACCAGTTTATTTACCAGGAATTGTAGCAACACATCAAAGAAGTTGCTTTTGGTCTTTGCAATGGCCTTAAGGAATATCTGTCCTAGGAGTGAGCTCAGTGACACCTGAACCCTCACTCTTCCCAGGACTTAAGCACTGACAGCAGGTTGTGGCAGGACACAAGGACCAGCTTTAGCACATCTTCAGTCCACAAAGCAGGAAGAGAAGGTGTTCCCTGTACTCTTATGACCACCCTGTCCATCAAATTTTGGCTGTTATTAGAAGGTAAAGGGTTTGGATAGGTCTTTTAGCTTCCACCCAAATCACCTGGTCATTTGATGCTTAGCAGGAGTATTATGGTCTACAGGGGCAGCAGGAATGGTGGCACTAGAGGGAGCTCTGGCAGCATCACCCACCTCCAAGCCCCCCAGTCTGGAACCAGACCCAGATCACAAGATTTGCCTCTAAAATTGTGAAGGTTTGGACTGTCTGGTGGTTTATTCCTTATATTACCTTCTGTGAACATCTGAATAACATTTTTAAATGGTTTTTTTGCTGCTACAAACTCTGGAATTACCAGCATCCCCTGTGCTCTTGCCAACAGCTCCTGTGATTGCATGGTTCTAGGAACTAGGATTTAGCCCACTAACTAAATGTTTATGAACCAAAAGCTAACTCAAACACTATGGATATCTTAGTTTTAGAAAAAATGCTTGAAAGGTTCACTGAAGTTTAAGAAATCTTCCAAGTATTCAATTTTTTCCCTTATTGAGATTCAACCCTCCTTTTAATCAGTAAACCCACAGGTGAGCATTGCGAATTAAAGTTAATATTTAGCCTTTGAATAAATAAGAGACATTTTGGGAATAATGTGCTTATTGGGGAACTCTGGGAAAAAAAAAGACGTACAAAATTACTGCTTTTGTTTTATATTCTATGATCTTCACTGGCAATTGCTGTGACTAAAACTGAAGTGGCAGAAGCAGCTTTGTTATTTTTAGAAAGACATCCGCAGTGATTTATTAAACCTCTCTAGGGAAGACAAAAGGTATCCTCTCCAGATACTTACTTCAGGAAGAATTCATTTTCAAGGCAAAAGTTAATAATTTCTAAATAAGAACAGTCAGGCTTCTGTTGAAACACCACGGTCACTCTTTTTGAAAGCAAATACATCTCAAATATCATCTATAGAGGACCTAAGAACTGCAGCAAACACTGTGCTATTGGATTTAATTCACAGAACTGCTCAGAGGGCCCAACAGGGGAAGAGGTCCCCCTTTGCCACACAGAAACATGGCTTTATTCCTCTTACTGCTAACAGATAAAGTGGAGCAGACAATCCTACCTTAAGTATATACTAAGTATCCCATATGTATTTATCGTATAGTTCTTTTAAGTCTAATAAGAGGAGAACTCCCATTATAAAATCTCAAGGCTAACTTACATGTTGTATTAAAAATATTGCTCAGTGCAGTGAGCCAAACCTCAGCAAGATTCGAATAATTCTAGACCACTGTGTTCCCCCTGTTCCCAAATAGATGTACCACAAAATCATAAAATATCTTTAATTTCTTGCTGCTCTAAAAATGCTTGCCCAAAATGTTATGTCATGAGGAAAAACAAAAGTTTTGCTCCCTTCTCCAACAAAAGGGCCACTTACTCCATCAGAAAAGACAGATATCAGCTGTTATTTTCACTCCATTTCCCTAACAAACAAGCAACTTACTTTGACTTCTTGTCCCTTGTTCACATTAGATCTGTTCTCAAACACCAGATTTCCATCCTCTGGTGCAGTGACCTCCTCTGGGTCCCTGTTTTCCACAGGGCTCCAGTGTTTTTAGACAGCCATTCTTCTCAGCACCCCCTGCCTCCAAAACTTCTTTTCCCAACAGTTCTCTTCTACTTTTCTAAATTTTCTTCACTGGATCACTTTCAAGGCTTCTATACTTTGCTCTTCCTCAGTAATTTCTCATCTTCTTCTTTAAAATAAACAAACAAACAAACCCACCCACTCACCCTCATCCATCTCCTCACACTTTTCCTCTCCCCTCATGTTATTCTTCTCTTGCCCAAGAATCTTCGCTGTTACTGGTGGCTGAGTTCCATGTTAATTCCCACTTCTCCTCCCTCACAAATTCCTCTTCATCTCTTCCAATTGTTTTAGTGTTCCCACCTCCCTCTACTTCTGTGCTTTATATCCCTTCCCCACATCCCTTCAGCCTGCCTGCACTGTGAATCAGGACATCAGAAAGTTGTGCTAATGTTCTTTTTCATTTAGTGTGGGGAATTCTTTTTGTTGAGGTAAGCAAAGTTGGTGAAGGCTGTGTGATGAATGTGTATTTTAATGACAAAATAAAGCCTCCAGTACCCTCACCCCCCTGATTTAGAATTCTTCCCAGCATTCTGTAATCCCCAAAGGAGCCTCTCAGCGTCTGCCATCCTTGGCAAGAACTGCCATTGAGCAAACCACTCTCCACTGCTCCACCTTCCTTCCTTCACTTGCTCTCCCCCATTGCCATCCAAAAACGTGTGGAGAAAGGGGAAAGCCTGTTATGCAGACTGAACTACCTTCCTTCCCAAATAATTGGGAAATTCCCAAATAATATTCCTTCCTCCCAAGTAAGTACTCCTATGAAGCAATGCATGGGAACTTTCAAATTCACGTTCCTTTGCACTTCATTTAGCCTTTCCTAAATCCAGTGGAAATGAAGATATATCTGCTGATGTTGCAAAGAATGGAAACTCACAGATCAGTGAAATACAACTATTTCACCAGCATTACAGATTCAAGCCTGGAGAATGGGAAGTGGCACCATAAGACTGATGGCACCATAAAACCCACAGATGTGTGGTTTGCCTGCGGAAGTGCAAGAACCGAGAGATATGGGATCCCAAAGTCACAGAGAATCCCAGTGCTCACTGTAAGAAATAACTGTATTTGTCACTCCACAAACATTGTAAGAAAGAATGCAAATGAAGGCAGTAATGGGGTTATAGTTACAAGGTGATAAATCGCAAAGAAAAAACCACAGAACTACTTAAAACAACCAAATCTTTTAATTAGAAAGCAACAAACATGCAAACAGCAGGTATAGAAATTTATTTGAACCAACGTTTTTACTATAATGAAAGTTACTTTAAAACATTGATCCAAGCTCCCACATTTGCAGGTTAAGGAAAATATTGCACTTTGCATCTTCTAGCACCCCTCATACATGGCAAAACGTTTGAAAAACATTTTTGCTTATTTTAACTTGCACACTCTCCCCAAGTCATGCACACAGTCATTCGAAAACAAAAGGTTAGGTTATCCAAAAGCAATACCTTAGAATTGCACTAAAGCTCTGTAAGGAAAAATATAATTAATGTCTTATACAAATTCCACTGACGTCTCGGTGCTCGCACACAACTGCCAGTTACTCTTCGTCTTCATTTTCGTTCTCCTGACCAGATCCTTCTGATCTGTCGCCTTCCAATCGGTCTGTAAAACACAGAGATTTAGTAAAGAGAACTTACAAAATTGTCTTTTTCTGGTAACTATAAAATACTCTCTCCCTGGGCTGTTACAGAAGGGGCGGTGGCTGTGGGTTATACGGTAGAAGAAAGTCTGTGTGGACTGACAAGCAGAGAGTGGGTAGGAATGATGCCACAAGAAAGGAGAAGAGGAGAAAAGCCCTAAAGGATTTCCAGGCATAAAAGGGAAATTTGTGTACAGAAGGAAAAACCTTGTAGCTGCTGACTGGCTGTCAGCACAGGGAAGATGAATGCAAGCGTAACATTAAAATGAGATGGCGAGTACAAGGGACTGAAGTGCTGTTCTGGGGAACTGACACTAGAATAGCTGCAGTTAGAAATCTGAATACTCCAGAAACTGGGGGATCACTGTCTGTCACTGAATGCATCAGAAAAAGTACCTTTTGATGTGCATGTTTAGAAAAGGGCAAATACAGAAACGTGCGAGGCAACATGACTGGATCAACATCAATCCCTCAAACAACATGCACTGTCAGGTTAAGAAACACTCCACTCAGCCATAACAGAGTTTTGCTGAAATTGTTGCAAACTCAAGTGTTGGGCAGTTCTTTTGGTGTTTTATTCCAAAGAGACTCCCCATATTCAATATCTACAGTCCCCTTCACCTTCACCTACAGGTCTGTCAGCAGCTCTGTCAGGATGGATAGCATGGTGAATGTCTAAAAATACATTTTGATCTTTGTTTTGGGGTAAAAACAGCTACAAGAATGTTGCAAGCCTCACACTAAAAAGCAATTCCTAAGAACTTCTATTAAGAGAACCTTGAACAACCCTTGAATCTTTTCACCAGCCCCAAGTATAGCCACAGACAGCTGAAGGTCTTGATGATTCTCCAGTCCATCTGCTATTTCACAGACCAGCGTCATGGGCGAGCTGTTCAGGAGTCTCTCACCTGCTCTTATGTGATTCAACGAAGCCAACATTCGTAGCATGAAAGAAGCTGGAACAGTAATAGTGTTTCTGGTCTCTTCCAGCATTAGTTCATTACGGGTTATAACCTGGAGGCAGGGAAGGATAAAAAAACAGCACCAGAAATAAACACAAAATTGTACTGCATCAGTATGGGTTTATAGATACAAAGCTCCTACGCAAAAGCCAAAATTACAATAAGGGACCAATATTTTAATAATTACTATTGAATACAGTTACTTCAACTGTATATGGTAAGAAAAGCCAGACTCTGCCTACAGTGTCTAACTGTCTGTCTAAAGAACATTCTAGTAAGATCATCATTCATTGTCCACATGCACGGTAGATATCTGAGAAAAACTTCTGAAATGAGTTCTTGCATGAAGTAAAGCAGAGTGATGAGAGAAAGTGCTGTTCCAGATGGCAACTGTTGGAGAGAACAAGTTCCAGCACCAGTGCTGGCCAAGAATGTGGGAAGGAAAAGAGCTGAGGTTACCCTAAACTCCTACCTTCATGCTGCCTGAAACTTTTGGAGAAAATCCAAGGAACACAAGCAATTTTCTATCCCAGTTCTGGAACATTCTTCAGCTCCATAATTCTTTCTAAACAGATCTACAGCTTGCCTCTAAATTACTTGAAAGAGCCAGTTCCTGCTGTCTCAGTTTAAAGGGAAAAAAATCCACTAATGAATACTTTTAGCTCTCTTGCCTCATTCCTTCCTCATGGTACTTCCTTGCCATCCTTCTTTCTTCCCCATTAAGTTCTAATCCCACACTGTTGCTGGTCTCTCAGCTTTTTGACTATGTTCTTCCATTTATCACTAAGCACAAAAGTTTCTTTAGGTGGAGACAAGCTCTGCCTGTTATTCAGTCCTTCCTCCCAGATCAGCTGCTGTAAGACAGGAAAATAATGCATTTCTTTTTCTCCTTGAGACTCCTCCAAGCCTGTTCCTCTTGTAAGGAACAAGTTCTTGCAAATGTTTGCAGTGCCCTTCTCCCAGCCAAACCAAATCAGCTCTTCCCTGTCATTCTCAGCTGTTCATCAGGTACTTTGCACAGCTGATAACTCCCTAACAGAAGCAAGCTGAGAAGGCAGCAGGAAGCCATTTTTTCCTCTTTCACCCCCTATTTCTCCAGTGCATCATCAGTAACACCCCCTGACAACCTCCTTCTGATGCTTTTTCTCTATTCAGAGGTTTGTTCCTGTCTCTGCTGTCTTTTCCTATTCACTGAGGTCACGGCC